GCCTAAGCTAACTGCTCAAGAAGTCTTATTTTGATCAAATTATGTGATTATGATGAGTATGGATTATACATCGTGGATTATTTTTATGGTAATGCGTTGAACTCTTTAACGATGATTGTAATATTATTTGTACTTTTATGAGTGATATTACTTACACTTGAATGACGCTATAATTTCATTGACCTCGTGAATAATAGGTTTAAAAAATATTTACATTATAATCAAGAACTAATATTTATGAGTATGATTTGGTTTTTTTTTTATGATATGTAGAGCATTATATTGTTTCTAATTACTCTTATAATTGAGATTGATAATATTTGCATGATGTTATAACTCTAAGTGAGTATTGAAGATACATAAATTATTAGATTTATTCACTCCATAAGTGAATGAGAGTTCATGTGATTGAAAGAAAGCATGTTTGCATGATGTTTTCGTGATTACAATTCATTGAAAAGCTCAATTAGAATTGCAAATATGATTACATATCAACTATTGGACCAAGAAATAATGTTTATGAGTTTATAAAATGCAGCATAACATTGAGAGAAACTTTACAACGTTTTATTATGCCCATAAATATAAGAGGTTTCGTTTTTTTTTTAAGATGAATGTAATTGGGCAAGAAGAACATGATTAAGTATTTTATAAATTTAAATTTATCTAAGCATGTTTTTGTTAAAAGTAACACGTTACTTGATACATGATATTGCCAATAGAATTTATGGCTTAAAAGGTGTAGGGATTTTAAAGATTGTTGGATTGATTCCATACCCCATATGCAAGGATTAGGGGGAGATTGTAAGTAATCCTTGCACATAAATAATAAAATATATTGATGGTCAGTTTGATACATACATTAACTCAAATATCAACGATTTATCTAATAGAAGTGGCCACATGTTAATTATTTATTTTGAAATGATATCATCCTGAAGATGGATATAAATAAATGTCATTGATTATATACTAGTTGTAAATGCTCCAATTAAAATTGATGTCCAGAAGGACAACATCAATTTCTGATGAACCTATAGCATGCCTAAAGCATGATAGATCAACATGTTCCAAAGATAATTAAGTATCTTCGAAAAGGAAAGGAGCCATTATTAACAATGACAACTTTAAGGAAGTGATAAATTCCATTACATTTCTTGAAGAAATCACTTTTAGTAAAATTTATATGTTCCATGATTATATAAAAGACTCCAGAAGAGTATGAAATGTCCAACAAGATTAACATGTATCAATATTATAGTCAAAACTCTAGCAGAGTATGAGTAATTATTGGTTAAAATATTAGTTGATTGTCTTGCCAATTGTATAAAGAAACACATGTTGATGTTCTAATATCACATCATACTCATGGTCATGCATAAAGTAAGTTTAATAAAGTCATCACTAATGTTGGAAAACTGACTAGAGTTCAATTTCAGAGATGTGATTGGATGTGATAATTAAATTAGGCCATCCGGTTTCAATAAAAACCCGTTATGGAAACCCGAAGTTTCATTTGAGAATGTGCTGACACTCTCTCAATGTTAGATATAAGAAATGAATTGAATAACAAGACATAACATTGAGATTGAGCTATCATAATTTGTGTTCATGAAAATTTCAAGAGTTAATAGGTTTTGATTTTCATATATACGAAAGAGCAATAGGTGACCAGAAGTTCACCAGTATAACTTATATATTATTGTCAAAGTATTAGGTGACCAGAAGCTCACCAAATACACTATTTAAGTCTTCAAAGATCTAGAAGATCACCACCTAGTAGAATTACAAGTAAGTGATTTACGTTTGTATACCAATTCTTTTGATTGGGGCTATAATATGTCAGCACGTAAGAAATAGGAGAAGAAAGAAAAACGTACAAATGTACAACACATGTCTCCCCATTGACATTGATCTTCAAAAGAGAAAATATTGTGGAAAATGTAATAATAAATACACATGATATGTAAAGTTAATAAATTAATGATTCTTCATTGAACAGATGAGATAAATCTTGTTTAATACAAAGATAAATTTTGATTGTGATCCTCCCAATAAAATGAATTTTAATGCAAATTTATGTACTAAGTTGGTATAGAATTAGACGCCTCTATAAAAGAGATATTTTACCAACTTAGGGGGAGATGAATTAACAAAAGTTGGAAAAATAAAGAATAAATAAATAAATAAATAAATTGATGATTCCTATAATGGTAGTTTGAAAAGTTACATGCCAACTTTTGTCTATTATCAAGATATGTTGTACATTTATGATATGATTTGTATTCAGTTATGACTCATGTTGCATGGCGTTGAAGATACATTTTGGTCATATTATGTGTATATATTGAGATAAAATCTTGTCAATTATACTTGAATCATTACACCTGAAGTGTGGGTTGTATGATCGGTTCCAAAATAAAGATATGATATGTGGCAAGATAGTGCAGTTAACACTTTTAATATTGTAATAGTATATAAATACCATAGTGTATGAAATACCCCAAAAGCGGTATAGATATCTGAATTATTACAATAAATGGCCTATGATAAGAAAAGTTATGATGGTACCAATGAAAAATGTATTCAGATATCATTGTCAAAATAGCATGCAAATTAAAATTGTACCTTGAGGAATTATATGATGATACTGGTATATGATGGAACCGATAAATAATGCATATGCATGATATAATGGACTAGTGAATAAGGGATTTGAAATTTATGTCCATTTTTTATGTCGACATGAAACTAAGATAATAAATCAAAAATTTATCATGAACTAGTAGTCCAATTAGAAAATGGATTTATGAAATCCACACTGTACAGTGTTCGCATTTTTTAGTCTTTTATTTATGTGAATGTTTGAGTTTTAAATTTATGAATTACTCATTGTATGTATAGGATGTAGTTTGATGCATTACTCATTACATATATATTTTGTTTAATGTTTTATCATGAATTCTACATCTCATATTGCATGCATTAGTTCTATACAACAATTGTGTTATATGTGAATGTTTATGGTATGACGAGTTTATAATTATGATGAAGGCTTATAAGAAGAAATTTATACTCCGATGGGCTTACAATTATGATGAAAGTTTATATGATGACGATCCAATATCATGTTATGAATCATGCATGAAAGTTCTCGCAGAACTTATATACAACGTATTCAAATATCTAGCCCTTCAAATTCTATATTCTGAAAAATGGTAATGTTGATATTGTTATCAAACTCATGGAGAGTATTGGTGACTAAGTTATTGAAATATCAACCTGAAGTTTAACCAAGTGAGAGTTAATCGATTTTATATTCATTGGAAAATTCCCGTGTGAAATGCAAAATGTCTAAAGAATAATAGAAATGAGCTATATTGCAGTAAAGATAATCTTCTTATGGTCCAGAAGAACCATGAGTAAAGTATATAATAATACCTATGTTATATTATTACTAATTCATATAAGCTTAGATAATGATATCAAGATATCACGTATTGCCATAAATTATTATGAATATTTGATTATCAATAGCTACTTTTACGACCTCTAGAAGTGGGCATGATTTTGATGGTAAGGCAACTTGAAACAAAAATGTCATATAAGATAGTGGTAAACCCAACATAAGTAGTGTTCTCACGAGTATGGATAAATGAAGATGCTTTACAGTGAATATTTAAGTTTGATCAGGTAGGATAAACTATTAAGGAATGTTATTCAGCTACAAGTATGAAGTTACTAAGACATTTGATTCATTACATTGGAAGATCTCAAGTTATGCATTTATCAGGGGGAGAAAATACGCGCTGCACTCTTTTTCCCTTAACCATGATTTTGTCCCACATTGGGTTTTCGTGGTAAGGTTTTTAACGAGGCAGCATGTCAAGGCATATTATGAAAGTGTTTTACTCTTTTTCCTTCACTAGGTTTTTATCCCATCGGATTTTTCCTAATAAGGTTTTAATGAGGCACACTATTCGATAATGGTCATCCAAGGGGGAGTGTTATATAATATATGTATTTAAGTTTTAGTATGTTTATTTAATTTTTTAATTTAATAAATTAATTATATAACACTACTGTTAATTTTTAATATTTGATTTTGCTGTTTTTTTAGACCAGAAACAATCTTGGATTTTCACACGAGGACCTCGGTTGCTTTTGTCCTCGCAATGGTGATAGTGTTATTAAGAACCATTACTACCCGGCAGAAAATTGGAAGATGTTCAACATCACAAAATGATCAAGGAGCTGAGCAAGAGAGACTTTAATGTTAGTGTAGGGATGAAGTTGTTTGTGTATTCTCATTAATGTTAGTGTAGGGATGAAGTTGTTCATTACTTGCCTTACAATATACTTGTGATTCGTGGTCTATTACACTTTGCTTTGTTTATTTATCTAGATCCTTTCGTTTGTAAACAACACTCATAACTCTATCGTAATTATTGATGGTTGTATGATCATTAATATTCTGCCTACTTCATTCACTTAATTGGTTCTTTGCCGTTGAAACTGCAAGTGACAAATATCTACCATTTTATTGGTAAGCTAATTTGAATTCCTGCCATAATAGAAGAGGTTCATATTGTCATGCTAGCCTTGCTTTGAAATTGTTCGCCTTTTTCTTGCTTACCTTGTAACCGTGTCATGTCGTTAGGGGTGTTTTCATCAGTAAAAAGTTGTTTTCTACAGTACTTGTAGAGATGTCAATCTGAAAAAATTATGTTCTTGTATTTAAATTCTCCTGATTATCCTTTTACAGCAGAGTTCTGCAGTCAGACTTTGTGTTAAGAGATTTTAGTTCAGTTTCTTGATGCTAATTTTGCAAATACGTGGGACAAGCCTTATCGTCACTCTCACTTTCAAGGAAAAGATTCAGGTTCGATTCTGATTTGTAGCAAAGGCAAGGCCACGAGGGAGAGGAGTCGAAGTACCCATGTCATTGTCACACTCCGTACGTGGGTATGGAGTTGTTGACGATACATTCCATACCTTGCTTACTTGCTAAAATAGAAATCAAAGTTTATTTCATAATGGATAACATCATTCACAATTTCACATATATAGAATTACAAGTCTTCCCAAATACCCCCACCCCCAATTTTCCAATCAAACGGAGAAAAAGAGAGACTAAATCTAAAAAAAATATTATTATCTTTCTATCCACCTATTAATCATTTAATTTGCAATAAACCAGCTGCAACACAAACTAATAATAATAGTACATATTAACGAGGTCGATATATGACAGAAAATCATTGTAATACAAACGATGGAGCTCAAGCAACCGGTGACTCTTTAAGGCTGAATTACATGTAGAGGCTGCAAAGCATGTACCAATGAGGTCAAAATAAGTTTAAGTGAACAACAAAAGACAGCAATCTACATAACTTGGTACTAGTGAGCTTACCGTATCAAGGCTGACGGGTTTACCATCTTCAGCAAGTATTTCAACCACAGTTCCAGATTGATCAGCCTGTACAGAACAGGCAGAAAGAAATGCAATAAATTACAGCTGAAATCTTTGAAGATTTTCAAGAATAACATTAGGCCACACAAAGCAAAAGATGAACTTTTCCACAAATTTAGGATCCTCACATACAACAATTTTCTTGATATCGCATGTGGCTGTTGATTGATGCTCAGTACTGAAAGGATTAAGGGCTCAAACTAATTGCAATCAACCCACAACAATGAAAAACAAACAAGCACAACAACTAAGAACAACCATGAAGAAATTAAAGCAGGTAAAAAAGGGAGACAATGTTACCGTGGGAAAACCCGAGAACCGGGAGAAAAAACCCACCCTTTGCACTATGGAGTAGTATTGATGATGAATGAAATCAAGATTACAAGCATGAATGGTATGACATTCAAATGCTCCTCACAAATCTCTCACAAACCCTTTCTATGTGTTTATGTTTTGTGAATACATATAAAAGAGGCTTAGTAAAAGTATATATAGTCTAGGTATTAAATGACAATCCAAGGGCTAGCAATTAATCAAGCACACGGGCTGAAAACGCACCGTAGAAACAGAGCAACAGGGGTTCGACCGAACCTACCCAGAGTTCGGTCGAACCTAGGGTGGTCTGATCGAACTCCCTTAAGGTTCGGTCGCACCTATGCTAGAAAATGGAAGTGCTATTGCTACTGCCTCAAAACATGGTTCGATCGGACCCATGCATGTTCGGCCGAACTTTTCACAAGTTTGGCCGAACTCCTTCTTGTTCGATCGAACTCACAACCAATAGCAGCTTCTAGCTTCTCACCTTATGCCTCCATGCATTGATTCATCTCCACACTAATCCTAACAAGTACCAATATTGATAAACTCAAATGAATGCTAGTAAATAAAAGGCATAGTGTATGTAGTCCATCACCCATGCATTATGTTTTCAGAGAGGAAAACAAGAACCAATTTTCTTTCCAATCTAAATACAATACATCATACATGATTTTTAAAAATTAATATTTTTAAAAGTAAAAATTATGGTACAACTCGTACTAGTATATCACTTTAGAGCTACAATTCCTAATTGGCGTTATTTGATTGAGTAATAAATATGTCAGATACCAAATCAAATACCAAATTGTTTTCAATATATCATGATCAATACATATGCCAAATACAAAAACCAGAGCCAATTCATCTCATTGCATTGCATCAATAACAGAACTATAATACCTTCACATAAACACAACTTGTACTGTTTCATGACATACCTCAATTTCATTCATCAACTTCATGGCCTCAATAATGCATATGATTTGTCCTTTCTGAACTTTATCTCCAACCTAAGGCAATATTAAAAAAATGTTCACCTTACTTGATAAAAGTATAAAAGGTATAGAAATCACAGGAATACGCTGCGTGTGCATGCACACACACACATAAAAAAGGTATACACCCACCTTCACAAATGGCGGCTCACCAGGAGCTGGACTACGATAGAATGTGCCTGACATAGGGCTCTTAAGAGGTGGAAGTGATGGCTTAGCTGACTTGGCAGCAGGAACCGGGGCTGGTAAAGCAGGGGTAGGTGTCGAGGAGACAGGAGCTGGGGAAGGTGCTACAGGAGGAGGCGGTTGCGCTGTAACCATATGTGTAGGGTTAGGACTTTGTGATTGTGGAATAGCCTCCTTTTTACGGATCAATATCTCACAGTCAAATTGTTTCAATTGCAACTCTGCGATGTCTCTAGAATCCACAAGCCTAGAGCACAAAATATAGAAGGTGAAATAAATTTCAGAAACCTAGTGGTTGAAAATGAAAATAAAATTATTCTCTGTAATCATTCTATGTTATTATTCTTCATCATCCTATCTAATTCCCTGCTTTCCTTTTCATGAATTTGACAATTATATTATAACAATAAAAAAGAGTATAGAAATATAGTACTTCGTATTAATTACAATTATTTTTGTATTTCAATTCAATTCTTTCCACATTGATATGGAATTTTTATAATGGTTATTCTTTGTGTAGTTCATTATCACTATGTTTCTCCTTCATGCCGATTTTTTCTTCTACCACATCCATATTTCGGATTATTTCCTGACTATTTCTTCATTTATCCCTGGTTTCCTTAACCTCTCTAAAGCCATCTCATATCCTCCATGACTGTATCAGTAGTGTCAGTGAGAAAGAAGAAAGTTATATACTTGACAAGACTGGCAACTTGGCTTAAAAAGTCAGAAACTGATTCTTCTGAAGCTGACACAGTAGGGGAAGTTTCCCTTGGCAGCTCATCATTCTTCGTTTCTTGAGCTGCTGGTCCAGATTTTGCTTGTGGTGTAGGTGGAGCATTGTTAGAACCACCCAAGGTAACCTTAAAAGACAAATTAGTCAAAAAATGATCTTCACACTTGCTTAAGATCATTAAATCAATATGACATAAGGAGACTCACCTCATTTAATTGGGCTTTAACGGCAACAATGCGGTTTGAAAGAGTCTACATGGTCACAACAAAAGTTTATTGCATAAGTCCCATATTAAAAATGATTTGGATCAGCCAAAACCAAGCAACAATAAAGTAGCAAAAACAATATACCAACAGTCCTTAACCAAATCTAATTGTTCAAATTGCTTCTCTTAGTAATTCACCTTCACCCTTTTCTACTATAATTTCCAGGCATGTATTTCACGACTATCAAGAACAAGACACCTTAGCATAGTTACATATTTTTAATGACATTAAAAGCTTTCCTATACTTTTGGAAAAATCATTTGATTTTACAATTATACAACTAAACATGTAAATATGCTTTGAACTTCACGTGCTAGAGCTCTTTCCATTCTAGATATAGTTGAGCTTACCTCGACAAAAGGTCATTTATATAATGTACAAGTACATGCATGCACTCTTTCATCTCCAATCCATAAGTTAGGATAAAGCAAATGATCCAAGTAAACATGACCAGGTAACAAAATTTTAAACCTTTATAAGGCCGCCCATTCGCTCAACGCGCAAATCACAATCAATTACTCTATAAATTTCTTAAAAGGTTGTCACATCACACTTCTTGAAACAAAATATACAGACCTCATTCTCAATGAATGACGAACACTAATTGGATGAGGATCAGCTAATATAATGTCACACTCTAATCAATATTATTTACTACAGTTCCATACTACTAACTCTTTATATATGAGTTATATATAGTATAGCCTAGAAAGGCATTGCAATATGCTGGCATTCCAAGTAAACGGGTCGTGTTGAGTTCGTGTTCGTGTTTGTACAAGTACAGAGTCTTATGTAAAGAAACCAAAATACAATAACAAAGTCAGTGTGACTACATACACAGCAAAATACAATAACATGGATTTTTCAATCAACCACAACATTCTATATTAATATTATTCTTATTTTTCAACAATTCATAAATTTCAGTAAATCAAAATCAAATTAAATCAGAAAACCCAAACAAAACCCACAAAACTTCAAGCACAAAAATCAACAACAATATTGCTACCCCAAATCAAGTTGAGCTTAATTAATTAACAAATACAATAATTTTTTCCAAAAAATGAATTGTTGTTAAGAAAAATTCATTGCATCAACCAATTAAAAGAAGAGAAGGAAAAGAATAAACCTTGGAAATGAGGCCAGGCTTGGGCTTGGGAGTGAAGGAGAAGGATACTTTGGAAGTAGAATGATGATAATTCTGAAAATTAGAGGTGGGTGTTTCAGAAATAGCTGAATTCAGAGAAGAAGAAGAAGCTGACATTGAGATCGCCATTTTGAAATTCTTCTGAAATTCTTGCAGAATTTAATGAATGAAGAAAAGGGTAGTGGTTGAATTTGATTTAAAGTTGGTGATGTAAATAAAATGGTTGAAATTTGTAGTAGTTTGTTTGTTTGGTGTGTTGTGAATCGATGATATCGAAGAAGAAGCAAGATGGGTGAGTGAGCCACTGAGCCCCTAATGAGGGAGCTCCGATAATACCGATGTTAAGTGTTTAAACTTTAATCATCCATTATGTGTCGCATTCTAGATTTCAAGTATTAACCCGAATGTTCACAAACTTGAATAGAGTCGGTTACGGGCCGGGTCAGTCAAGCCCAATGCCTTAAGAAAGGGCGGCCAAGAAGTAATGTTGTTGTTTGGGATCGTGTTGGTCTGTCTTAAGAAAAGGCCCATGCATGATCAGTTTGGAACATTTTTAATATAATAACAAACAAGTATTGAAAATTGAAACAAGTATTCTTTTAATATGAGAATGTACAAGTATAAAATTAAATGAATATGCTTAGATATAAAAATTAATATTGTATTAGATTGTAAATGAACATCTTTTTTGAGAACGAACATGTAATACATTGATGGTTCAATTTCATAAATCAAATTGATAATTTATCTTTAATTTTAGTTTTTATATATATATATATATATATATATATATATATATATATATATATATATATATATATATATTTGTTCTGTAATTTTATAAGCTAATAACACACAACATAAGTTAAATCAACTTAAAATAGAGTATATAGAACATCATTCTACTATAATCATAAGAAATCATTATAATGATAAAATTTATAAGAAACCATAAACTACATACTACTACTGAAATTTCATATCATTGAAGAATAAATAAAAATTAGGGTTTGAACATTTTTTCGAAAAATAAACATAATCATCAACTTACAATTTGATTGCTGGTCGTTCTTTTGTAGAAATTTTCTTCTTGATTTCCTCTTTTACAAGTGGAAATCTAAGAGCATTTTGATTTATTATTCAAGAAATATTTGGAAGATTTTGGTAATTTAGGAGAGAGAAAGTGATAAAATTATGAGGAGAGAGAAATTATTATTGTTGGTAAAATTATAAAAGAAACTAAATTATAAGATAGAGAAATGTGGGAAACTAATTCTTAATGTTCAAGTTGTATAGTACACGTAGGGGAGGGGGTGTATACTCATGATAAATTTAGTTTGTTTATCTAGGCCCTTATGTTCGTCATTCCCCATAAAAGAAGCGTGGGTATTTTAGTCATTCTATCCCACTTAGACAATCGATACTTCCTACATACAATTGACCATTGTTAACCAAGCTAACCAGACGTTATAACTGTTATGTCAAATCTAAGAGAGAATGAGAGGTAGGCGATGTAGAAATGCGTATTAATGATATTTATTTATTTTTACCTTTTTTAAAAAAAGGTAAGAAAAATTAAACATTAGGAAGCCCTCCTCACGAGGGGAATTCTTAATGCATTAAAAGAAAGAATAGAAAATAAACTAGAGTTATTACAATCATCAATATCCATAGTACTACATACTAATGACACTACTAGAAATAGGCCATTTTCCGACGGAATCGTTCCGACGAACTTAATTTCCGTCGGAAAATTTGAATTTTCCGACGGAATTTGGGTCTGTCAAAACAGTCCGTCGGAAAAGATAGGCTTGCGGCGGAAAATCCCTCGAAAATATTCCGACGGATTTTTTTCCCTTGAAATTTACTGCTTCCGACGGAATATTCCCTCGGAAAATTCCTTCCGACGGAAATTCCGAGGGAAATTAAATCCGTCGGAACATATTAATTTCCTACGGATTTTAAATCCGTCAGAAATTTCCGACGGAATTTAACCCTTTTCCGACGGAATTTTGTTGTTTTAAAAAAAAAAATAACAAAACCCTAAACTCCTAAATATACGGACCCCCTCCCCCATCCCTATTCATTTCTCTTTCCTCACCTCTTCTCTCTCCCCGCCTCTCTTCTTCTTCTTCTCTTTCTCTCTCCTCTCTTCTTCTCTTTCTCTCTCCTTTCTTTTGGTTCTCCTCTCATTCTCCTTCTTTATCTTTTCGATCTCCTCCTTCTTTCCTCTTCTTCATTACAATCCTAGATTCGCTTTCTTTCTCTTCTCAAACTGCTCATTCGGTCCTTCCCTTTCTCGGTTTCTCGTTCCTCCTTTTGATGCGGCGTTTCGCGGCTTCTCGCTGGTGGTGTGAGGTGTCCGCCTCTGTTGGTGGTGTGAGGCTTCGCGGCTTGACTCGGTTTCATCAACAACAACCTAAACATCAATTGTAGATCTTGTAATTTAGGTTTGTGTTTAGATCTAGTTTTTTTTTGAATAAATGTTTGGTCTAGTTAATTGTATATGTAATTGTAATGTTAATTTATAAAATTTATTAGACAATTATATATTTATACATTTCTATTAATTTTCCTTGTTTAATTTTGGTTTTTTGAATTTTTTTAGGGTTTTTTTTGGGGTTTTTTCCGGTTTTTTAGGGTTAATGGTGGTGGTGTGGTGGTGTCAGAGGTGGTGGGGTAGGCTGTTCTGATGGTGTCGGTGGTTATGGGGTGGGGTTGTGGTGGTGTGGGTGGCGTGGGGGAGGTTTGGTGGGTTATTTGGTGGTTTTGGGTTGGGTTTGGTGGGGTGGGGTGTCTGGGTCTGGGTGGGGTGGGTGTCTGGGTCTGGGTTGGGGACGTGGCGGGTGGTGTGGGCTGGTGGCGGGGGTGGATCTGGGTAGGGATTGTGGTGCCGTATTTTTTTTTTTTTATTTACTTTTTCGATGGAATTTTTCGTCGGAATATACCTTTTCCGACGGAAAATTCCGTCGGAACGTCTCACCCACCAACGGAAATTTCCGTCGGAACCTTGCGACGTATTTTCACTTAAAGTCAACAAAAGCGCCGACAGAACATAATACGTCGGAATAGACTTTTCCGACGGAATTTCCGAAGAAATATCGCGAAATTCCTACAAAGTGTATTCCGACGATGCGTTTTGACGGAATTTCAAGGTTTTCCGACGGATTTTTTTCGTCGTTGATTGACTGTTTTCTAGTAGTGTGACCTACATTTGCTATCCAGTCCGCTGCGCGATTTACCTCTCGGTAGACGTGTTGGATGCTCCAATTGCAAAACCAAGAAAGGAGAAAATGAGTGTCTTCAATAATATGTTTGATCTACCAAGGAACTACCCAAATGTCTTTTATTGAGTTGATGACTAATAGGTTATCACCTTCAATTTCAATGTTCTGAATGCCACATTGAAGAGCTAGTTAGACTCCTCTATGATGAGTCGCAGCTTCCACTATAAAAACTATGGCGTTGTCGAGGATGAATGTAAATGTATTGATGAGTGCTCAGATGCTATCTCTGATGATGATTCCTGTTGCTGCTGAGTTGTTACGAATCGAACTGTTGAAGTTGAGCTTGAAGAAGTTGTTGGGAGACGTTTTCCATGAGATAAGAATGGATGATGGGGATTGAGTATGAGAAGAATGATTATTAGATCTCATAATGGGAGATCCCATGGAGGAAAAGGTATCTATGAGATTCTTTGGTGCTACTCATTGAACACAAATTGTGATCGTCAAAGGTTTCATTACGGAAGATAATAGCATTCCACTCTTTCCAAATACTCCAAATGAGAAAAATAAATTTCCTTAAAGTATTTGGTGTTTTCTTAAGTACATTAAACTTTCTGTTAGTTTTAGAAACGAGGTTTGAGCAATCTAACCACTTTTTTGATAAGGGGAGATTCCAAACTTCACTGGTTCTAGTGCAGTTGAGAAAAAGATGATCAACTGTTTCATTTTGTTAATTGCATAGAGGGTGTATTAATGATATTGATTAAAAAAAGGAGAAATTCCCAACGGTAACCCCCAACTTTTTTAGTTTCTCAATGATGACTCCCATTTTTTCAAATTATCAAAAACAACCCCTAATTTCTAATCAATCATTAAACATGACATTACTAAGTAAAAAAAAGGTTTCTTTTTTTGACAGGAAGTAAAAAAGAGGTTAGATGCATGTCAAATGGGGATTTTCAGTTAAAAGCTCATAACCTAAATTAAAAGCAACTCCAATGGTTTTAGCTAGGGACTTGCTTACAATATTAAATAATCACTAGCCACTAGTTTAACCACTGGAGCTAGAAAATGCAATTAACTTGGCCAAACAAATTAGTTTTGTTGAGCTAATTTGCTTGGAAAAAAAACTTGCTAAAATAAAACAAATTAGAATAAATAAAATGAAATTTATCAACGTAAATTAAGAAGGTGTGGTTCATTTAAATAGTAATTTATTAGCTAGCCCTTGGAGCTAAAATGACAATTAGCTTAAAAGCTTATGTGGCATGGCAAACAATTAGCTTGCCATTTGAGTTGCTCTAACTAGCTGAGTCAATTAAGCTAATTCTCTGGAAATAAAAAAATAAAAAATAAAATTCTTCTATTTTAGAAAAAAAAAAAGGAATTTTACCTGCATAGTAAAATTTACAAGAGGATTATAAGTTATAAATGAAGCATATTGATATTAAAAGAATTGCTATCAAGATGAACGAGATGAAGAAAAGTACTATCATATTCATACCCAACATCCAACATCATCCAATTCCTAGAACTTTGGTTACAGAAGATCAAGAACTAAGGGTAAGTTTATCCCTAGTCTTGAGATGAGTCTTTAGACAAGTCTTGAGCAAGATTCTAGCAATAATCTCTACCAAGACTACATATAGTCTCGAGAAAACTCATCTCGAGACTATACAAAAGGACAAAATTAATTATGTTGTCCAATAGTGAGTTGCCAACTCACCATTTAAAAAATAATTTATAAATGAAATAGATATATAAATAAATTAAATTTATTAATATTAAGGATAAGTAAATCTAGATTGAGTCTTGAAATAATTTGTGAAACTGAAGAAAGTTTTGTATGAGTCAAATAATAAAAAAGTAATTAAAAGTTAGTGGAAATCTAATGTAACATAGTGTGGAATATAAGTCTCAATTTTGGGATAAACTTACCAAACTAAAAGTTTACAAATACATCATCATCCATAACATCATCATGAACACTAAAAGTTAAAGAAGATCAAAACTTTGTTATCATCTAACATCATCGCATTTAACTCCAATTAATCCAACCATATATGGTACATTTGATATCCTTCATTTTATTTTATTTGTTTATTTATTTTTTTTTTATTATTTTT